TAATGGTTTTATTATAATGAGAATACAGACACACTTTGTGTGTATGAATGCCGAGTAAGATATTGGAGTGTGTGTAGAGACGTTTATTTAATATTGTTTTGATACCATTTGTTTTCCACTTCTTCTAAATTCAAGGTGTTGTTTCAATATCTGTGTAACTCCGGGTGTGTTTTGTTGTGTGAGTGGTTTATTGTTGTTCCCCTCATTGGGTTGTGTTGTTTGATTGCTGTTGTGATGTGTACTCTCTCTCTCTTTCTGTGTGTTGATGTGCACTGTCTGCCGTGTGTGTTAAATATGCGTCTCTTTTCTTCTTTTCCTCTTCTTCCTTGCTACCATAGACCCAAGCAACTCACAGTGACAATCATGACAACGATGTTCGTCCAACTGCGTGGTGTGGTGTACCTATTGGTACTTCTGCACTTCTGCGTGTGCGTGGTTCGTGCGGAAGCAGAGACCAGCGACGAGGCAGAAGCCAAGATAGCGAAAAACGTTTTGCAAAGGACAGTGGATAATGCGTACGAAGTGCTTGCGCAGGGGAAGAGTTGTTTGACGTTGTTGGAGAGTGAAATAAAGTACTGCAATGAGAGTGTTATGGAAGCCAAGAAAGCTGTCAGGGATACCAATGGGGTTGATGAACTGATTAGTCAAAAAAAAGAGAATGCAGGCAGTGATAAAGTTGTTGAACTGCTTAAGAGGGTCAGATCAACAAAGGAAACGGCGAATGTGGCAATGGAGGCGGCAATAGTGGCGGTTGGACGGTTAACGGCCGCGAGGACGGCCTGTCACGTATCATATGATAACATGGATTACGTCGCAAAGAAACTCGAACAAGATGTGGGGGGACTCAGGAGTTTTATGATGGGTCCGGATGGTGTGAGACATAATAACACGGAATGCGAACGACTCGTAAAGAACGGTGTTGAACTATGGGAGAAAATACAAACTATCAAGGATGAGGTTTTCCAGAAAAAGTGGGACGGCGATACGATGAAGTCGGAAGGGGTTGGTGTACTGAAGAAGGCGATAACGGCATTGAAAAATGTGAAAACGAAACTTGGGGATTTGGAGGAGAGGCTAAATACAGTGGGCTCAGGCAGCACGGCGAGTGGAGAAACGGTCCGTAAAGAAAAAGAAGAGGTCGGGAAAGTAGCGTACGAAGGTGGGGTGAAATTAACAAAGGTTGCGTCAGTTCCGAGGACGTTTGCAGTTGGTGGAGTTATAAAACGGGAGGAAATAGTGGATGAAAGCAGCGCCCCGCAGGAAAAAGAAAAAATAAAGAAAGAGGCAGAGAAACTTAAGGACGATATCGTTATGGATGTGAGGGATGAACTACAGAAGAGAGAGGAAGAGGAAAGGCATCGTATTGCGGAGGCGATCCAGGCCGAGGAGAATGAGGAAAGGGAAAGGGAGAAGAAGGCCACGGAAGAAAAAAAGAAGATAGAAGAACAGCAGAAAAAAACTGAAGAGGAGAAAAAGAAAAAGATTGAGGGGCAGCGAAAGGCTGAGGAGGACGAGAAGAAGAAGATTAAGGAGCAGAAAGAGGTCGAGGAGGAGGAGGAGGAGAGGAAGATTGAGGAGCAACAAAAAAAGGCAGAGGAAGAGAAGGCGAAACTGACAAAGGGCGATGGAGCTTTCACTCCGGCATTGTTGCGTGAACCTTTGGTGCCTTTCGCTGTGATGTGTGTGCTGGGATGCACTCTCGTGTGTTGATCGATGTTCCCATGACACAGCTGCACAGTTAATTCTTGTTTGGGTGGACATGGGCGCGTTGTAAGGGCACTTTTCTTTTTGGTTGGATAACAGAATTCTTTTACTCTTCCGGCACGACAAATCTCTTGTTTGTATTTTTTACTGAACAAATCTATTGGACTCCCTGTGGTACTCAACACATGACAAACCATCATTTTGTGAGGCAAGTGTCCTCTTTGTTTGTTCGCATTATTATCTGGGTTCTGTTTTGCCGTCGTTCACTGTGTCCACCCAGTGATGTGTGTGTGTGTGTTCCGTGATATTACTAACTATTGCTTTTACCCATGGGAATGGGATACAATTCCGATGTGTTTTAATTGCTGTGACTGAAATGTGAAGAATGGAAGGATGTTCAAGACACACAAACACGCACACTACCAACCCTCCTTCTCTTTGTGTGTGTGTGTGGACTGTCATCATGTGTGCATCATTTCCACTGCTCACCCTGTACGAAAGACACACACACACACACCTACTGCTGGGAATTGTGTTGCTTGCCTTATTAACATATTTACATGGTGATCACAGCTTTCTTTTTGTTTTGTTTGTTTTCATTTTATTCTTTTTCCTTGTGTGTGCGTGTGTCTTTTATTATAATTTCATTGCACGTTATGTGCATCTGTGTGTTGCTCTCTTTTCGTTTCCGATACACCTTGTGTATCTTGTGTGTTCATTTCTATGGAAAGATTCTTTTTTTTTCATTATTTGCAAACTGCTGAACTGCTGCAGGGACATCAAGAATAAAAGATATGGGCACGGCACGTTCAGTACGGAATGATTTTCCGTTGTTGACCTTGGAGTGGATTGGACTGTCTCCAGGCATCGCAGCCACAGTCAGTAATGAATTTCTTTTTTTCTTTTTTTTGCGCTATTATTGTGTCTGCCTCATGCAGTCACTCTTTTTTTTTTACATTTTTATTTTGGTATAAAGATTTGTGGGTTGTAGGTGTTTGAGTGTGCCCCTCTGTTGTGTGTTCCTTTGTGTGTTTGGGTTGCTACTCGCACCGCCCACGTAATGAAAACACATTTCTTTGTTCTCACCTTCTCTCTCGGTGGTGTCGCTCACGGCATTACCACGAACATATTTCTGCCCTTGTGGTGTGGTTGTTTGTTGTGTGGCTTGCTTGAGTAACTGCAGCCTGCGGGGAGGTGGAGTGAGACTGGTCCGCTTCGGCTTCACGTAATGGGTCTGCTTTTTTTCTTTTTGGGGTTGAGTTGATGTGCTGGTGTGTGTGAATGTTTCTCTCTGATGGGAGTGGCAACTGTGATTATTGTATTGTGAGTGCTTTGTGTGCTGTTGGTATCCTGTTGTTGTTGTTCTTTTCTTGTGTTTTTCTTTTCCTCTCTGTAGGTGTGTGACTCCGTGTACATTTTAGTGAATGCGGCAGTGCCCCTCTGATATGAGCATGTGAGACTCTCATTCTGTGTTTGTGTGTGTACACTGTGAGTGGGAAGGACACTTTGTGTTGCTGGACCACTCCACCACGGCGTCTGTGGGGTGCATTGAGTGGCGGCGTGGCGATATCCACCAACATGTGTGTGAGCGACTGGAGTGGAGGTGTGGTTTCTTGACACTGGTCCACTGCCATGGGGTGCGATTGGGGCCAGGCGTGGAGAGAATAGAGCCCTGCGGTGTTGGCCTCCCGTCTGGCTCTGTAGTGTGTGAATGGTTTACTGTTGCTCTCCTCATTGGGTTGTGTTGTTTGATTGCTGTTGTGATGTGTACTCTCTCTCTCTTTCTGTGTGTTGATGTGCACTGTCTGCCTTGTGTGTTAAATATGCGTCTCTTTTCTCCTTCTCCTCTTCTTCCTTGTTACCATAGATCCAAGTAACACGGAGTGATAATCATGACAACGATGATTATCCAACTGCGCCGTTTGGTGTACCTGTTGGTACTTGTGCAGTGCTGTGTGTGTGTGGCATATGCTGCCTGTGATAATAAGGGTTATGAGGATAAAGTGAACGCCAAGCATCGCTTCTTGAGCGTGTTGCGGGACGAAGCGCTGGGTTACTTCGTCAATGCAAGTGCCTGTCTGGATGTGTTGAAGGAGAGGGTGAGAAAATGCGAGGCAAACGAGGTGAATATTAAAAATGTTGCAAAGGCAGCGCATGACAGTGTCGGTGTTGTCAATAGTACGGTGTCTAGTGGAATGCCCAGTGGTGTAGATGACGTAAGTAAGTTGGATGGACTGGAGAAAAAGGTAAGGGAGGCTGAGGGGAAAGTGCAAGCAACGGTGAAGACAGTCGTGGAATCTGTGGAGTTGGTCGAATTCGCGGCGTACGTGCAAAGGATTTGTCAGTCTTCGCTCGATAAGTTGCGTGACGAGGTGGGGCGTATTAAAGCAAAGCGGTGGTATTTCGATGACGTACTTCAACGAGAATATGCAGGGTGTCTGACGGAGGAAAGGGAGCAACTAGGGAGAGATTTGGAACGAGTAACCAGCGGGTTCACTAAACTGGAAGTCCCATTAACAATCGAAATTAAGAAAGCTGGCGATTCCAGGGAGAAGGTTGTGGGAAGGATAGATGAAGCTATTAATACGATGGATGAGGCAGCTAATGCATTTGATGGGATTATTTATCAAATCATTAAGGAATGGAAAAAAGTGAGTGACGCCAACAAGGTTGAGGATATCAGGGAGGTGTTGGCCTCAAGCAGAGCAGCGTTGAGGAAGGTTCTGAATCTTAGCGAAGCGGTCTCCAGGTCGATTGGGGTGGTCCGTGAAGCGAATGATACGGTGACTCCCTTGGTGAAGAGGGTGCGATATGAGCGTCCCCTTCCGTGGGAACATAATAAACCGGCGGAAGATCCTCTGGAGATATTAAGAAAAGAGATTGCTGGGAATATGACGGGGCCATTGAGTGAGAGACAGGGAGAGGTGAGGAAGCGTCTGGAATTGGAGAAAAGGAATGAAGTAGAAAGGGCGAGACGGGAGGAGAAGGAAAGAAGAGAGAGGGCGGGGGCGCAGGAACAGGAAGAAGAGAAAGCAAGGCAGGCGCAAGAACAGGAGAGACTTGAGGCGCAGAAAAGAAAAGAACAGGCAGACAGGGTAAGGGCTGAAAAAGAAAAAAAGGAGAAACGGGATGCAGAAGAGAAGACCAGGGAAGAGGAACTGGTGAAAAGGGCCACGAAACAGGTTGATCGAAGTTGGAATCAAGTAATGGTGCACAGTCCCTTGTTGCTTTTCGCTGTGATGTGTGTGCTGGGTTGTGTTCTCGTGTGCTGATCGGTGATCCCATGACACAGTTGCACAGTTGACCCATATTTGAGTGGACATGGGCGCATTGTAAGGGCACTGTTCTTTTTATTGAATTTTAATGTTTTTTTTGTTTTTCTTTTTCAGTTCGATAAACCTCTTGTTTGTATTTTTTACTGAACAAATCTATTGGACTCCCTATGGTACTCATCACATGACAAACCATCATTTTGTAAGGGGAGTGTCCTCTTTGTTTGTTCGCATTATTATCTGGGTTCTGTTTTGCCGTCGTTCACTGTGTCCACCCAGTGATGTGTGTGTGTGTGTTCCGTGATATTACTAACTATTGCTTTTACCCATGGGAATGGGATACAATTCCGATGTGTTTTAATTGCTGTGACTGAAATGTGAAGAATGGCAGGAGGTTCAAGACACACAAACACGCACACTACCAGCCCTCCTTCTCTTTGTGTGTGTGTGGACTGTCATCATGTGTGCATCATTCCCACTGCTCGCCCTGTACGAAAGACACACACACACACACCTACTGCTGGGAATTGTGTTCTTGCCTCCTGAACATATTCACATGGTGATCACGGCTTTCTTTTTGTTTTGTTTTCATTTTATTGTTTTCCCCTACTGTGTGTGTGTTTCATTATAATTTCATTGCACGTTATGTGCAGCTGTGTGTTTCTCTTTTGCGTTTCCGATACACCTTGTGTGTCTTGTGTGTTCATTTTTATGGAATGATTTTTTTTTCATTATATACAAACTGCTCCACGGACATCAAGAATAAAGATATGGGAACGGCACGTTCAGTACACAATGATTTTCCGTTGTTAACCTTGGGGTGGATTGGACTGTGTCCCAGCATCGTAGCTACAGACAGCAGTGAATTTCTTTTTTTCTTTTTTTTGCTCTATTATTGTGTCTGCCTCATGCAGTCACTCTCTTTTTACGTTTTTATTTTGGTATAAAGATTGGTGGGTTGTAGGTGTTTGGGTGTGACCCTCTGTTGTGTGTTCCTTTGTGTGTTTGGGTTACTACTCACACCGCCCACGTAATGAAAACACATTTCTTTGTTCTCCCCTTCTCTCTCGGCGGTGCCACTCACGGCATTGCCACGAAGATATTACTGAGATTGTGGTGTGTGTTGTTTGTTGTGTACCCTGCTTGAGTAACTGCACCCTGCGGGGAGATGGACTGAGAGTGTTCCGCTTCGGCTTCACGTAATGGGTCTGTGTTTTTTTTTTTTTTTTTTTTTTTTTTTTTTTTTTTTTTTCCTTTTTTTTCCTTTTTTTTCCTTTTTGGGGTTGAGTTGATGTGCTGGTGTGTGTGAATGTTTTTCTCTGATGGGAGTGGCAGCTGTGATTATTGTATTGTGAGTGCTTTGTGTGCTGTTGGTATCCTGTTGTTGTTGTTCTTTTCTTGTGTTTTTCTTTTCCTCTCTCTGTAGGTGTGTGACTTGGTGTACATTTTAGTGAATACCGTAGTGCCCCTCTGATATGAGCATGTGAGACTCTCATTCTGTGTTTGTGTGTGTACACTGTGAGTGGGAAGGACACTCTGTGTTGCTGGACCACTCCACTGCGGCGTCTGTGGGGTGCAATGAATGGCGGCGTGGTGATATCCACCAACATGTGTGTGAGCGACTGGAGTGGAGGTGTGGCTCCTTTACGCTAGTCCACTGCCATGGGGTGCGATTGGGTTCACACATGAATGGATTAATGAGATTCCCTCTGTCCCGAGTTACCATCTGGCGAAACGACAGTCGAGGGGAACGGACTTGAAGGGCTAAGCGGGAAAAGAAAAGACCCTGTTGAGTTTGACTCCAGTCTGGCTCTGTGCGGCGGCATCTGAGGTGTAGTATAGGTGGAAGCGCAAGCACAAATGAAATACCACCACTCGGAACGTTGCTTCACTTATCGAATGA